AAGAAGAATCTGCTGTTGTCTATTGTACTGCAGGCATTGAAGATACGGTTTATCAGGTACATAGTTTTGATATAATTGTATTTGGATTCATGGCCTACTAGTGAACTGAGAAAGGATTATAATATAACTACTCCCTACTTTTCACATTTCCTATTTACATTTCCTAGCAATATTCATTTTTTTGTTGTGTTTTGAAAATGCCTTCCTACTATGTAGTCTAGGCTGTCCTCATACTTGTGATCTTCCTGTCTTGGCAACTTTCATTTTAGTAAAACTAATGGTGATCATCTCTGAGTTAAGTGAGTCATTTCTCCTGTGGTATATAAAATAAAGATCTTATCATTAATGCCTTTCAGGATCCACTTTATACAGAAGGAGCTTGGTCCCCACATTTGAGGTTAAGTCTTCTTACTATTCATTATCTTCCAGTGACATATTTCCAGTGACAGTATCATTCCAGGTGATTTTAAAGCACTTAAAAGACCTCAGTTAGAACTGAAAACAAAAGTAATCCCTTTTTTGTTTGCCACATTACCCAAACATTAATCTTAGCCTTAGGTTCATTATGAGACAATTAGTACTTTTCACTCTGTTTTCAGAATGGTTACAAAAAGCTTTTTTAATAGAATTTTCCCCCTCAGATACTACACTCTGTATCTTCAGTTCTAGGTATATAGTAATGCTCTGCTAAATCTGTACAAATTACTAAACTAGAAGTTCACATAACATTGTAAATGCTTTGTATATAAACTGTAACTGACATATAACTGGTAACTTTGAAATATGCTATGTTTGCACTATCACAAACACAAATACTGGTGTTGTATTTTACCGCATTTAAGTAACTTTGTAGTGTGAAATTTTATTGGGTTTCACATAGCACATGCAGGCAAAGCAGGTTTACCAATAAAGTTTGAAGAAGCAAGAGGGTGTGGTAGTACATGTCTTAAGTACTTGGGAGACTCAGGCAGGAGACTGTCATTTCAAGGCCTGCCAGGTGTGGTGGCGCGTGCCTTTGATCACAAGTGCTTGGGAGGCAGAGGCAGATGGATCTTTGTGAGTTCAAGGCCAGTCTGGTCTACGTAGGGAGTTCTAGTCCAGTTGGGGCTGCAAGGAGACCAAGAAATTTTTTTGTTATTATTTATGTGTATGAGAGTATATTGCCTGCATGTGTGTACGTGCACTGTTGTTATCTGCCACGTGGGTGCTGGGAACCAAATCCAGGTCCTCTGCAAGAGCAGCCAGTGCTCTTACCCGCTGAGCCATTTCTCCAGCCCCCTCAGTATCTTTTTATCAAAGTTCTTATGGATCAAAATGTTTTAAGTAATTTTCTTTTTGTATTTTCAAACCAATTTTAGTGTTTTTCTTCAGCCCACTTGATAATAAACAAGGAAGAAAAAAGTTTTTTTGGCGGGGGTTAAAATACCTAAACTCAGAAATAGCAAATATGTTTCATCTTTCCTAGGTCAGTTTAAAGTACTTGGTGTTCTGGAATAGTGCGTGGACTGAGAAGACTTAGAGGCTTAAGAGCTCAGTTCAGTAGTTGGCATCCCTTTAATGTTTCCTTGTAGACTTGGGATTTTAAAAAAATACCTGTATGTATAAGTGTTTTGCCTTCATGTATGTAAGTGCACCCATGTCATGCACTATCCACAGAGGTCAGAAGACAGTGATTTCTACAAATGAATCTATAAAGCCAAGATACTCTGCAGGATTGGAAGGTGGTGACCCTTGAAGAACAATAAAAGTTGGTAGTAGGATATGAGGGCTGGGTCCGTAGCTATAACCCAGTATAGAGTACTTCCCTCCAATGTACGAAGTACTTATTTCAATCCCTAGTATTGCCAAGAAGAAAAAGGAAAGGATATGAGACTTAAGTTCATCTGTTTTAAAAGTAGGGGGAGGGCTTCCTAGGTATCTAGAGTATCTCTGCTGTCTCCCTATGTGTAACAGTGTAAAGGAAGGGGCTTCTTATTTGGGGTCTTCACTGACCTGGTTGGGTGTTGTATTTGGTCTTACAGGAAGGGCCACCGAACAGGAAGATGAGTATACACATAAAATAAAAATAAATATTTTTTAAAAAGTAGAAGGAGGGAAGCTGGAGAGATGGCTCAGTGGTTAAGAACACTGGTGGTTCTTGCAGAAAACCCAGGTTCAAATCCCAGCACCCACATGGCAGCTAACAACTGTCCGTAAGTCCAGTTCCAGGGGATCCGACAGCCTCTTCTGTCCTCTGCGGGCATTGTCCATGTGTGCATTTACCTACATGTAGGCATAACACTCATACACATAAAAAATAAAAATAACAAAAATTTTTAAAAATGATCTTGGAGGCATGGGGAGATAGTTTAGTTAGTAAAGTGCTTTCACAGGGATCTAATTTAGTCCTGAGAACCCACACTAAAAGAAAAAAAGCCTGGTTGTGGTGGTAGGTTCTTGTAATCCCAGCTCTGGATGCAGCAAGGTCCAGACCACTGAAGGACCCCCATACCCTCAAAACAACAAAAAGATGGAGGAGTATCCTCTGACATGCCTTGCTTATAAAAGACAATAACTACTTGTTTCTTTAGAAGACAAAACAGTTGAATAATACTTGTTCATAATGATTGAAGTGAATAAGTATGCTAAAATTATTAATCTCATTTCTAATTCTGTTATGGTTAAATTTCTTCTGGTTAAATTTTTTTTTTTTTTTGGAAACAGGGTCTCTCTATAGCCCCAGCTGGCTTGGAATTCACTATGTAGACCAGGCTGGCCGGGAGCTCACAGAGATCCGCCTGCCTCTGCCTCCCAAGTGCTGGGACTACAGGCGTGTGCCACCACACCCGGCTAAATTTTATTTTTTATTACATCATTTTATGGTTTTCCCTTTAGTTGGACTATGTTATGGTTCACATAAAATTACCAAGCATGGTAGTGTGTACCTGTAATCCCAGTACTTGGGAAACTGAGACAGGAGAATCCCTGGCAGTTGGAGGCCAACCTGGGTTACATAATGAGCTTCTGCTTCAAAAATAGGAAGTTTATATGTATATATTAATATTTAACATTTTAGTGGTATGTATAATCCTAATCCGAAGTGACAGAACAATTTGATTTTCTTTCTGGAAAGTTCTGTGGTAGGTATAAGATATTTTATACATTTGTTATTGACCCATAATAGTAATATTCTGTGGAATTTTTTTTATTTTTCATGTTTTTTCATTTCACATTGTTGAAATTAGGCATTGGTACATGTGATAATTGCTAAAGTGTTGCATTAAATTCCCTTAATATTTGTGTATACCTATAATAGTACCTATATGTTCTTGCTTTTGTGTGAATTTTACACTCAAGTATTATCTTTTAAGATGTAATCATGTTAATACATAAGAGCTCTAGTTAATTTTATTTTTAAATTGCTATAGGAAAATCTTTTAAAGGAATAAACCATAATTTATTTACTTACTTTAGCAGAACTAGATTACTCCATGAGCCTGTTTCCCTATGCATATTAAAAGAGTATTCTCAGAAGCAGAATTTCTTTGTGAACGGGCATGCACAGTTCTATGTAAGCCAAATTGCTTTGAAAAGTGCTTTTGCCAGTTTTTACAAGTTATCAGTAATGTCTCAGATTCCTGTTTTCTTATCTTACCAACCCCTGCTTTTACAAAACCGAGTTATTCCAATCTGCTTTGAAATGGCATCTTAATGTTTTACTTTAATATTAATATGTAATCAAATTCTAATCAGATGTGGCATATGTTTAGATAGTTATTGAGTTACTCTTAGTGAATTTATTATTTCCATTAAGGCTGTCTTAAGCTATTTCTTGGACTTCTGTTGTTACGTATTCTGATGTTTAATCTTATCTTTTAAATTCTTCTGGTGTTTTTGAAACAGGGTCTCACTGTGTACCCCAGGTTGGCCTCAGTATTATGGAAATCCTGTCTCATCCTCTCAAGGGTGGGGATTACAGGTGTGTGCCACCATGCCATGCCCAGCCTGATATTGAATCTTTGGGTGTGCTTAATACAGACATCTTCTGTTGACAAGTAGCTTGCCTTTTAGCTTTGTTCAGCAGATTGTTTAACAGAAAATTCAGTTGCAATTTTTGTGTCTTATTTAATTCTTCCCTGCTTGAAGTCTTAGAATTCTTCTGTATATTTAAGTTTGGCTATTTAGATGTAGCGATTTGAAAGGCCAGAATTACGGCATTGAGTCATTACGAAAAGAAGTGATTTGCCTATGGTAAAAAGCTGGCCTTTCAATACCATTTATCCAATGATTTGAATACTGCACTTTGTATACCCAGTTCTAAGTTTTGAGACTCTGTATTGTGTTCTATTTGTCTTTTGTCCTTCCCTTTTCAGAATTCTTTACTATTGAACTTTTTAGATCTTCTCAGCTTCCATGAAAAAAATACCTCAGAAGCAGGCATAGTGGCACATGCCTGCAATCCCAGCACTTGTGAGGTAGAGGCTGGAGGATGACGATCTCAAGGCCAGCCTGATATACAAGAGTCCTTGTCTCAAAATAACAAACAAACCACTAGTTAGAATTTTATTGAGACTCTTAAAATTCTTTGCTGGTGTTATGTATGTTACTTTTTAAGAAAATGAAGTTTTCTACTCTTTGAATTTTCATGTGTTAATCTTTATTCAGAAACTTTGCTCAATTTCAGTAGCTGTAATAATTAGTTTATTTAATTTAGTGTCTTATTTCAACAGAGAAAATGCTTCTGTCTCCTGAGAAGCTAAAGCAGTTTCAAAAGAATTTTGTGCCATAGTATGAGGGTATGAGGCAACTCTTCTTAGTTAACTTGGGAAGTAACTTCAATGAAGGGTTTCATCCCCCCTCCCCCATGTGTCCTGTGAATTGTATTTTGTCTTTTTGTTAATCCTAACATTTGCTTCCCACTAGAATTAGTCTATATAAGGACCTCCTCACCCTACTCCTCTCCCAGTTTAGTATAGATGGTACTGCTGCTCTTGAATTTCACTCTGTTTATTTCCTTTTAGGAGACGCAGGTCAGAATGGAGGTGGGCTGCAGACCGAGCAGCTATTGTCAGCCGCTGGAACTGGCTTCAAGCCCATGTTTCTGACTTGGAATATCGGATTCGTCAACAAACAGATATTTATAAACAGATACGTGCTAATAAGGTAAAGTAAAAATACCTGATGTTTTCCAACCAATTTAAAAACTAACATTATTCCTTTTCTACTATCCTTTCAATAAGTCTTAACTTTGTCAGGATTAATGGTTAAATGATCTGATATAATGGTTTGATTCAAGAGCCTGATGCTAATATTAATATGGTACAGAAAACAGAAGAATGTAATTTTGGTGTTATTTTGAGACAGGTCTCCCTGTAGCCTCAACTGGAATGGAACTTGCTATGTAGACCAGGCTGGCCTCAATCTCACAGAGATGTGTTTGCCTCTACCTCCCAAGTGCTGAAACTAAAGGCGTGGGCTACCTTACCTGGCTAGAATATAAAGTTTGATTGACAGGTGCTCAGAGCAAAATGATATATCTATCTGGGTCAATACAAAGAAAAGATCCATGTGATATAGACCATCAACTAACATGTTTGCTTCATTTATGGGAAAGAGTGATTATCTGTTGTTGTTTCTTGATTTTTGATGAGGCATGTTTGCCTTAATTGCTAATCTTTTCTTTTGGGAAAGGGAGATGAAGAAAACGTGTTTCTAATGAGGAAGTAATTGGAAATTTAGACATTGATGACAGGAATTTAATTTTCTCATTCTTTTTGCAGAGGATTGATAAATTACTTGACAGTGACATTGAGTAGTTTTCTTCTTGACACATCATCTTAGAAAAGTCTTCTGCTCAATTTGAATCTGATGTGAGGGGGAATTAAATACAAGCACATCCTTTCAGCATATACTGGGTGCTCACTCTGTATTAGCACTAGTCTCTCTGGTGGACTAGTAGTGAACAACAAAAGCTGCCTTCATGATGTTCCTATTCTTGCAAAGCATCTTTTATAGTAGGTTGTGGTTGAGCTCCATGACTAACAGACCATATAAAGACTAGTGCTCCTAGAAATAAGTGTTATAAGATGTTTTCATCTTTAGTGCTTTCAAAAGTCTTAAGAAAGTGCTATGCTGTGAATGAATGGTTCACATTAATTAGTAAACCCACATTTAAAGGATGACTGACTGAGAACAGTTCTACAGTGTACACACATCTATTCATTTAAAATGCATTTGCACAAGTGTACAGGCCAGAGGACAACCTTGGGTGGTGTTCTTTAGGTGCTCTGTGCTGTATCTTCTGACAGTTGTCCTGGAGTTTGCCAAGAAGTTTATAGTGTGGTAGACCAGTGAGCCTAGGGATCTTCCTGGCTCTACCTTCTCAGTGCCTCTGGGCTTAGAACATTTTATACTGTACCTGTCTATTTCATTTGATGTTGGGGGGAGTAGGTTCTGGCAGTTTGGCTCAGTTCTTTGTGCTCTCTGTAAATTCATCAGAAACATAGTTCAGAGTACTCATTTTTCTTTTTTTTTTTCCCGGAGCTGAGGACCGAACCTAGTGCTCTACCAGAGTTAAATCCCCAACCCCTTAGAGTGCTCTTTTTTTAAATGACTTGTTCCCTTATGGTAAAGAATAAATTGAGTCCTGGCTAAGATCTTTAAAAATTAATTAAAGCAGGGGCTGGAGAGATTGACTCCGGTTAAGAGCAGTGGTTCTGGGTTTGGTTCCCAGCACTCACGTAGCAGCTAACAACCATCCATAACTCCAGTTCCAGGGTATCCAACAGGCAGTACACTCATACACATAAAATAAATAAAATTTGAAGGAAAAATTATAGCAAAACTAAAATACATTCCAGAGGTAGTAAATATTTTGCTTTCCTTAAGTGGTCTTTAAAAGGAAAATTTTAAGTGAGCATGTAAAATGTGAACTGGAGTGGAAACTAAAAAAAATCTGTACCTATCCTGAGAAGAAAATGTCTTTGTGTGTTAGCAATACTTTTTAAAGATGTCTGCTGGAAGCCTTTTGTAGCCAATAGTTAAGTGTGAATTTCTATATTTGAGACCAAAAATCTTTTAGTAATAACTGAGGCTAATACAATACACTCATTTTTGTTGCTGTGTCTCTTTTATGTACATCCAAAAACTTTTGTATACCCTTGGGAGGCACTCTGACCACTGTTCAGAAGCCGTGGCACTCTTGTGCTCACACATACACAAAGAAGTAACTCTAGTTCTTTCCCCCCACTTCCCACGTTGGCACATGTAAATGTATGTCTGTTTTTTGGGGGGGAGGGGGGTCTTTTTGAGACAAGGTTTCCCTGTAGCCCCAGCTGGCCTGGAACTCACTATGTAGACCAGGCTGGCTTCAAACTCACAGAGATCTGCCTGCCTCTGCCTCCTGAGTGCCAGGATTAAAGGCGTGTGCCACTATGATGAAATATAAAAGATACAGATAGGTCTAGATTTTCTAGATAAACCCTTCCCTGCAACTCAGTTAACACAATACAAACATGTTTGTATATCTTTTTGTGTTACTTTTTTTCTCCTAGGCACAGAAATTTCCTTTAAGCATAGCCAACGTCTGAATCTTGGACATTTCTCTATCATTTAGAAAAGGTTTTGTTGATTTTATTTTATTGCCTTTCTTTGTTGACTCTTAATTCCCTGTGCTGGCCTTGGATATGCCTAAGGGAGTGAGACTGGGAACAGATGCCCCCATCAGATGACATGGATGATTCAGAGCATGGCAGGATAGAAAAAAGATAAAGGACCTAAATCGTTGATAACAGCACTGTGCCACCTATTTAAAGTATATTATAAGGAATTAGTGCCTAAGTTAAAGGCACTAATATTTTTTATTTTATTTTATTTTTTTCCCCGTTTGTTTGGAGACAGGGTGTCTTGTAGACTAAGCTGGCCTTGAAAATCTGATCCTTGTGCCTCTGCATTTCAAGTGCTAGGATCACAGATGTGCACTACCGTGTTCAATATCTGTTCTTAATATTTTAGAGAAGTATTTTGATATTGTGTATCAGTTTTTAGTCTCAGTAGCTATGTATTGAAACCATGCTCATGCTACACCTACCTGTAAGTCTAGCTTTCAGTGGTGGTGGCAGGAAAATTGGGAGATGTAGCCTGAGATACATCTACTAAAAGGTACTCTGTAGTTGGTGTTGTTTGTTGGCGGGGTGTTGCTTTTTCTGTTTGTTTTTTATTTATTTTTTGGTTTAAGAGTAGTGGGGTGGGGGGAAGGGGGCTCAAACTCACTATGATTGAGAATGACCTTGAACTCCCAGTACTTCTGCCTCTACCTGTCAAGTGCTGGAATTACAGTTGTGCTTAGACTTAGTCTTTGTGCATGTGTGTGTGTGTGTGTGTGTGTGTGTGTGTTGTGTGTTGTGTGTTGTGTGCAGGTATATGTACACATGTGTGTAGGTGTATGTGCCTGTGCCATGCTTGGAGTCCAAAGGAGTGTTCACTGTCCTCTTACTCTTTATTCCTTTTTGAGTTTGGGTCACTTCCTGAACCTGGAGCTTGATTTTCTCCAGTCCTCTCAGAGTGGTTATAGAAGTGCACAAGATGCACAGCTTGTTACTTGGGTGCTGGGATCTGAACTCTGGTCCTCACAATCGTGCAGCAAATTAGCTGCTGGGCCATCTCTACAGCTCCTAGCCATGTTTTTTTTTTAAAATCTGTTTCCAGTCCTGGCATTCCTACCAGATAACTGGATAACTGTACAACCTTGGGGGAACAAAGTCACTTAACTGTTTGTTGGTCTATAAGAGATAGCATTCTCTGGGAGGTAGAGGCAGGTGGATTGCTGTGAGTTCAAGGCCAGCCTGGTCTACATAGTGAGTTCCAGGTCAGCTAGGGCTACAGGGAGACCCTCTTTCAAAAAAGAGATAGCATTCTAGGTAATCTTTTTCTAATATGTCTTTTTCTACAGTCTTCACTATACAGTATCTATTACAGAGTTGTGGCAAAAAGTATAAAATTATGGTCCCAGTTAAGTAATCCGTCAAGAAAACTCAGAATTGTTAAATCATTATGTGTTTTTCAACAGATATATTAGTTTCACAGGCTGCTGTGAGAAAGTATCACACAATTGGTGGATTAGGACAGTAGCAGTAAGTTAAAGTTCTGTAGGCTACAACTTGAAAAGTCAAGGTGTTCACAGAGCCATGCTTCCTCTGAAGGAAGAAACATTCCATACTGTTTACTAAATTAAGGTGACTGCTGCCAGTCCTTGGTATTCTTTGGCTTATAACTGCATCACTCCAGGTACTGCTTGTCTCATGTGGCTATCTCTTCACTGTGTATCTCATGTCCAAATTTCCTTTTTAAAAGTATACCAGGCATTGACTGGAGAGATGGCTCAGTGATTAAGACCATTGCCTGCTCTTGCAGAGGACCCAGATTTAGTTACCAACACCCACATGCTACCTGACAACCATCCAGGGTCCTGACATCCTCTTCTGACCTCTTCAGGCATTGCACACATATGGTACACATATTCGCAAGCAAAACTACTCATACACATGAAATAGGGGGGAAAAAATCATATACCCACCCACTCACCTCCCCTCCCCAAATGTGGCTGTCAAGATATATCAGTGAGTAAAGATGCTTGTGATTTGTAAGCCAGTCAACCTCAGTTTTGATTCCTCAAAACCTATGTAAAGGTGAAAGGAAAGAGCTGATTCCTGGACCCCCACACATGCATAATGGCCTGTGTGATACACATCATAAATATATACACAAGATAACAGTAAATCTTAAAAATAAAAATATACCAGGAATGTTGTGTTTATGGCCCACACTAAAGGATTTGACTTGATTCCCTCTGCAAAGATCCTACTTCAAAGTAATGTCACAGCCTCAGACTCTCTTTGGGTATGTATGTTTGTTTTGTTTGTTTGTTTGTGACAGGGTCTCTGTGGTGTCCTGACTGGCCTCTCAGAGATCTATTTGCTTCTTCCTCCCAAGTGCTGGGATTAAAGGCATGCACCACCACACCTGTTCAGTAAGCATAAATTTTGAAGGAATAGGACTCTCTCTTCTATTCCATCAAGCAGATAAGAACTTCCCTCAATGATTTATTAATATGAATTTGGTTTTTATGTAGTGCTATGATAATAGAGTCCTTTGAGTACTAAAAAATGTGCCAGGCCCTGTGATAAACATTTTAATATCATCCACAATTAATATGTTAAGTTGCTTAATTAAACCTAAGGTCTTGCTTGCTGGACAAGTACTACTGTTGTGCTATATCCCCAGGGTCTCACTGAGTTACTCCGACTTTGATTGAACTTTCAGAGTGACCCACTCATGCCTTGAAGTTGTAATGCTCTGCCTTAGTCTCCCAAGTTTCTATGATTGTGGCCCTGTACCGTGAAGCCCAGTTCACAGTTTGATTTTTATTTATTTTTAATTTTTATTTTTTATTCCCTAATTTTAAAGATAAAAAATGAAAAGGTCATATAAGTGAGTACAGGACTGAGGTTTGGGGACTGGAAAGATGGCTCAGTGGTTAAGAGCACAGACTGGTCTTGCAGAGGACCAGGGTTTGATTTCCAGCACCCACGTGGTGGCAAACAACTGTCCTTATCTCCAATTCCACGGGATCCAGTGCCCTCTGTTGGCCTCCTCAGGCATTGCACAACTTTTAATCTGAGATTTAAATACCTAACCCTAGAGTTGTTGTTCAATTTAGCAGTTAAGTATTCAGTTCCTTTTTGACTTTCCAAATGGAGGGATATTATTTCTCCTGCGTTAATAGAATATATAGTAAACCATGAAAACCAAGTTGAAGTTCATGTCTTAACAGAGTTATTAAAAGGTGTCATTGACGTCCATGTCTCGTCCAGGTGGCCTACCCTGATTCTTGTAGAATTGGTTAGAAGTGAGTTCCTAGCTTAACATAATTTGGGTAGGAAAGATTGACTTGTTCAGTGATAGCCTCTGATTTCTGGGATTAAAGGCATGTGCCACCATGCCTGGTTCCTCAGTTTAGTAATTCTTCACATTTGTGATCAACTAAAAACCTTACAGTGCTAATGTTAATCTAATAGTGTCTAGTTGGTAATACAGTATCAGATGCAATAAAAACTGTAATGTGATAAAGATTCTAGATCTTAAAGGCCTGCATAAAAGGTGTGCTAAGTGAATGATAAGCCATGTTGGTCAGCAAATTAGAGTGAAAGAAAGGGGAAATAGGAGTCCGAATCTGTTTCAGTTTTTTTGTGATATTTATTCATTTGTCTATGTGGGTGCACACATAGAAACAGTTTTCCTTGGAGGCCAGATGACAACCTGTGGGAGTCATTTCTCCACCCTGTGGATGCCTGAGATGGAACTCAGTGAGCCACTCTCTGGCTCAGCTCTGAATTCTAGTGCCTTTAACCATTAGGCTTTTTGTTGGCATAAATCTTTTAAGGGGGATAGACTCCAAGGCCTTGCACAGAGAGGCACAAGTACCACTGAGCTACACCTTTAGCCCTGAAATAAATCTTTAGGAAAGCAAAACTGCCACTTTTTCTTTGAGCCATAGGATAAGGGGAAAATGTCTCTGATGAACCAGCTCCCTTCCCCAGCCCGTTTGAGATTAATTCCTAAATTAAATTTGCAATTTATACCACTCAAACTGTTTTTCTACTCTTTGTCCTACAGGGGTTGATAGTCCTTGGGGAGGCGCCTTTCCCAGACCCTACAACAGACTTATTTCTTCCACTTAGTTCTGAGGTGAAGACAGATCATGGGACTGATAAATTGGTAAGTATAAAAGATAGAAAGGATAAAAGGGTGAGAATTCAGGGTGTGGCTTTAGTTTATTATCAGTAATTAGAATCTTTGAATTGGCTGAAGGAAGAAAACTGTATCCCCTTTATCATGGATCTGAATTCTTGAATAGGGAACACAGAGGTCCCTTTTGCAGCTATGTAGCCAATCTTAGAAATAAAGGTAGACCTTACAGGTCAAGAAATGACAGCCACTCAAATACAAATTTATGGAGTAGTAGTTGAAATCAAGACACCTGGGGGTGTAGCTCATATACCTTTGGTAAAGTCACTTTTTGGACTAATAGAGTGAGTGAGTGAGTGAGTGAGTGAGTGTGTGTGTGTGTGTGTGTGTGTGTAAAAACTTTTCAGTTAAATATTGGATTAAGACTGGGGATGTCACTCAGTTGGTAGACTGCTTGTCTAGCATGTAAAGAGCTCTAGGTCCACTCCTCAGCATGACATAGACCAGGCATGGTGGTGCTCACCTGTAATACCAACACTTGGGAGGTGTAGGGGGAGGGGAATTAAAAGTTCAGTGTCATCTTTAGTTACATAGTGAGTTTGAGGCCAGCTTGGGATACATGACTTTTTGCCCCCCCCCCCCCCCGAAAAGCCAGTCATGCATTTGCAATCAGTTGATTTCATTGGGAAGTAAGAGAGGAAGGCATTATATCAATTCAAAATATTCAGTAATTTAGATGAACATGAACAAAAAGATTTTCAGACTAGGGATGTGGATCAGTAATAGGGCTCCTCTGAAGTGTGCAAAATTTGGCTTTAGATATATCAGAAAAGATAAAATTAGAATGATTGAGAATGTAGAGGAATGGTTTCATGATCTTTTAATAAGTAAGAATTTCACTTCTATATCACAAATCAACAGTAAGAAAATAAAAGGGCCAGGCCTGGTGGTACACACCTTTAATTCCAGCACACTGGAAGCAGAGGCAGGCAGATCTCTTTGAGATTGGGGCTACAGGAGACCCTACCTTTAAAAAAAATAATAATAAATTTTTTTTTTTTAAGTTTTCAAATTTTATTTTCAATTTTTTTTTTTTTTTAGAAGCATTTCATTACAGCTTTAACATATTCAGTAACACATTCCAAAGCAAGAGTACATTTGATCGTTTTGAGACAAAGCCTCCTTGTACCCTCAACTGCCCTGGAACTTGCTATGGAGACGGGGTGGCCTAGATTTCACAGAGATCTGAGGGCCTCTGCCTCCAGACTGCTTGGTCCAAAGGCATTGTTAGTCAAATTCACTGCTGGGTGGTGCACGTGGCATCCATTTCCCTCCTCCCAAGGCTCTTGCGACAGCCTGAGGAAAAAAAAAAAATTGCCCAAACTCAGGGTTGAAGAATCTTAAGGAGTTTATTGAACTTGCTAACTGAGCTTGGGGTGCAGGTTTACTTACAGACAAACGGGCCCCCCCCTCATTTGGCTGTTTGAAAGTCCATACCCAAACATAAATCACATGGTTCTGGACAGCCTCACAAAATGGTGAAAGAGTGGCCTCCTGATTTTCTCAGCTTTTATACCCTTAGCCCCTCCCCTGCAAGCAGGTATGGTTAATCAATTGGCTGGAAGAGGGAAGGGGAGTGACTCCTTTGCAGAGCATCGGAAGGAGGCGGGTCCATGGCCCCTCATCACAGGGTCAGTGGAACACCCAGGGTCACAAGCATACTCTAGACAGGGATGGGGTGTTCTAGACTGGATGTTTGTTTCCTCTAATTCATGTCAAATTTCCCAATCCCTGGTGTGAGGGGGTATAGCAGTGGGGCCTTTGGGAGGTGATTAGGTCATGACGGCACAACACTCATAGAGGGGTGTTGGCACCCTTATAAAGCATATCTGGAGAGCTGCCTCAAACTTTCTGCCATGTTGGACACAGCAGAAGAGCCTCTGCTCCTTAGGTTTTCAGCGCAGACTAATCAGGCTGTGCTCCCCACCCCCTCCCCCTCAGCAGCCACAGTTTCTGTAGAGGAAAAGACAAGTCCAATACATGTGAGTCTCTGACCGCCTAACAAACAGACTCCCCCAAGTGCCTAGATTCCAGGAGAATGGAAAGCTGGCCAGGGAGCCTCGTGGATCCTTGTGCCTTTGCTCCCCTGGCTCTGGGTTTATAAGCATGCCCCCAAATGCCTGCCTTTTTATGTGGATTCTGGAGATCAAACTCAGGTGCTCATGTTCATGTGGCAAGCACTTCCTTTATGTCTAAGCTATCTTTCCAGCCCCATTATTTGAAATGTGGAAGTGCCCCAAACTGCTAAAGAATTTTCTTTTTTATTTTTGGGAAA